TAAGTCAGTCCAATTTAATGGGTATGGTTTGAGTAAACATTTGGTGGTTGGAGGGGAGTGGGTTTTACCTAAGAGGCGGATATGATCGTATTCGGAAAAAGAGTTATTGTAGAACATTGTTTTTGATTGGGAGCAAATGGAATTTTGGATTGATTTGAAGTTGGCTGATTTTAAAAGGACCGAGTTTCTAACGATAGTGGGCATACCGGTTATCGTGCGTATGCCGATGTTTTGGACGGATTCAATACGTCTCCAATGGGAGGGGCCGATAAAGGGTGCAGATGATTTGACCTGCTTGCTTTGCTGCTTTGCTTTGCTTTGGGAGGGGTGGCTATGCCGTTTACTATTCCAGGCTTGTGCCTCTACTAGTGGATGGATTTTGGGGTTGATTGGTAGGTTCAGTTATGTAAGTCAGTCCAATTTAATGGGTATGGTTTGAGTAAACGTTTGGTGGTTGGAGGGGAGTGGGTTTTACCTAAGAGGCGGATATGATCGTATTCGGAAAAAGAGTTATTGTAGAACATTGTTTTTGATTGAGAGCAAATGGAATTTTGGATAGATTTGAAGTTGGCTGATTTTAAAAGGACCGAGTTTCTAACGATAGTGGGCATACCGGTTATCGTGCGTATGCCGATGTTTTGGACGGATTCAATACGTCTCCAATGGGAGGGGCCGATAAAGGGTGCCCAGGAAGAGCCAGCATATGTAAGTATAGGGGTCACGTAGAGTTTAAGTATGTTAAGTTTTGTTTTCAGCGGAACGGGACTAGTACGGTTAAGTAAGGGGTAAAGCATACCACGGACGCGGGTAGCTTTTTTGGTTACGTCTTGAATGTGTTGGTTGAATGTAAGTTTACGTCCAATCGTGACGCCTAAGTATTTGGCCTGTTTTGACCAGTTAACGGGATGGTTATCGATGGTTAGAGGTGGAATGTGGGTTGTATTAGAACGCCCGAAGAGGACGCCTACTGTTTTGGTCGGGTTTATTTTGATTCGCCACCTGTGGAACCAGTTGGACGCGAGGTTGAGTTGGTGTTGTAGTTGTATGGTTGCACGTTTGGGGTTTTTATTACTAGTAAAGAACATCGTGTCGTCAGCGAAGAGTGAGAGGTTGGCTTTAGGAGTCGTTGGAATGTCGTTAATGTACGTCAAGTATAGCGTCCGTGAGAGACAGGAGCCCTGAGGGACTCCTGCGAGTACGTGTCTGGTAGTAGAGAAGGATTGTTCGATTTTAGTGATAAAAGTACGGTCGGTGAGAAAGGATTGGATGATTTTTACGATTTCTAACGAGATGTTGAGTTTGGAGAGTTTGTAGAGTAGGCCTTCGTGCCAGACGCGGTCGAAGGCTTTCTCCACGTCGAGAAAGACGGAAGTAGTGTTTAAGTCGTTGTTAAAGTTTTCGCTCAGTTGGTGGGTGAGTTTGGTCAGTTGTAGTGTGGTCGAGTGTTCGGGTCTGAAGGCGAACTGTTCGGGACGAATTTTGTTTTTGAGTTTGTCTTGTAGGTGGGTGAGGATGAGTCGTTCGTAAATTTTGGACAGGGAGGAGAGGAGGGCGATTGGTCTATAGTTTTCGGGTAGTTTATGGTCTTTGCCAGGTTTGGGAATGGAGATGATGACTGCTTTTTTCCAGGCAAGGGGAAAGTAGCAGATTCTGAAGGCGCTGTTGATGATCCGAGTAAGGGACAGTATAACGTTGTTCGGTAGGAATTTAAGAGCCGTGTTGGTGATGAGGTCGTCACCTGGGGCTTTCTTTTTGCGAAGGTTGCGAATTATGTCTTGTATCTGGCCGGGAGTGGTAAAGAGGTTAGATCGGGTGATGTCAAGGCCTTGTAGGTACTGGGAGTGTGCGGTTACGTCTGGTAAGTCGGGGCCGGGGTTTGTTTGAAATTGACGTTCGAGCGAGTCGGCTATCAGCTCTGCTCGTTCGTTGGCCGGAAAAACTAGGCCGTCGGGGCCGGTTAGTGGGTGGGATGCTGGACGTTTGTGTAAGAGACATTTGTTGAGTTTGTATATTGACCCGTCTTGGTGGTCTAGTGAGTTAAGAAAGATGTCCCATTGGTCAGTATTGTGCGTTGCGAGTAAGGTACGTATGAGAGATATTTTGGCGTTTAGTTGTCGTTTAATTGTCGGGTCGCGGTTTATTTGCCATTCGCGGCGTATACGGTTTTTGTCTTGTATTTCCAGTTTAATGTAGTCTGGTACTACAGTGGACGGGTGTTTGCGTGTCGGTACGTATACGCTGGATTCAACCGCTTGTTGGATATGTTTTGTGAGGTTTTCGATTGCCAGGTCGATAGACTCACGGTCGTTGGTCGGTTGAGTGGTTGAGTTCGGTAAGTTCGCGAGAGTTGTCGTGTATTTTTTCCAGTTAATAAACCGATTCGTAACCGGTGGAGAAGAAGAGATAGGAGTGCAGAGTGTATCTAGAAGAATGGGGTTGTGGTCGGAAGATAGTTCGTTGAGGTTAATGATTTGGGTTTGATAGGGTAGTCGTACGAGGGCGATGTCGAGTATGTCAGGTCTGTATCGTGTGCATGTCGGGAAATGTGTGGGAGAAGAGGGAGCAGTTACAGAGTAGTCCGATTGTTGTGCGTGGTCAAAGAGGACACGGCCGGCAGCGTTAGTCGTGTGGCTATACCACAGCGGATGTTTGGCGTTGAAGTCGCCTGCCGAAATTTGCCATTCGGCACTCTTTGTCAAAAGGTCGAGGTCGTTGGTCGTTAGTAGGGTTCCGGGTGGTTTGTATACGGCTGAAATAAGTACTTCGTGGCCGTTGAGTTGTACGAGGATGGAAGAGGTTTGGATGGTTGTGTTTAGGGTAACTGGTTGGTGGACGATACGTCGGTTGACGAGAACGGCCGTGCCTCCGTGGGCGGGCGAGCCCCGCACGGGCGGCAGGTCGTTCCTGTACGTAAAAAAGTTAGGAATGTGAAGTCTGGCAGAGGGTTTTAGGTGGGTTTCGTTAAGTAGGATTATGTCGGTTTTCAGTTTTAGTGCTAAAGAGCGCAGTTCGTCAAGTTTGTGGTTAATGCCGTTTGAGTTCCAAAATAGAATTTTTAAGTTATCCATTTTGGGGGGATAGTATGGTTAAGAATGATTGTATTGCTGTTTGTATCAGGGTTTTGGGGTCCTGGTTGTTTACTATGGCTGTTAAGAGGTTGGTCAGGAGGTTTAAAATGAGGGACAGGTTAATTTGTGGGGCTTCGGGACTGGTCGGTTTTGGTGGTGGTGGTGGTGGGGGCGCTTGGCCGGTGGTGGCTGCAGCATACGAGCGGGTTTGGGGTTTTATTGTAGTTGTTGGTGGGGGCGGGGGTGGTGTAAAAGATTGAGTTGTCGGTGGCAGGGTTTGAGGTTTGGTTGTTGGTGGTGCGATTTTGGGTTTTATCGTCAAGAGATGTGGGCATCCGCGGAAATTAGCCGTATGAGGCCCGCCGCAATTGCAGCATGTCGGGGTTTGCTCGGGAGTTTTTTGGCATTCAGATGCCAAGTGATTTCCTGCGCACTTGACGCATCTGGGTGGGTGGCCACAGTTACGGGAACCGTGTCCAAAACGTTGGCACGAAAAACATTGTGCCGGGCCGGAAGGTTTAAGGGCTTCTACCGAAATTGTAAGATAAAATAGGGAGTTGAGAAGGAAGATATCCTTGGCGTTCGGGGTTGCCGCAATGTGTACGAGGCACATGGGCATCGGTTTTTCGGAAGTACCGAAACGGCGAATGTATTTTGTTTGGAAGTTTAGGGTTTCTAGTTCGGATTTTAGATCGTCAGTGGTGATGTCGGTCGGTATGCCCTTTAGAACGACCTTAAGGGAACGATCTTCAGGGAGGCTGAAGGTATGGAATTCAGTTTTGCTGTCAACTAGGACTCTCTGAATTTGTCGGAAGTGGGTGGGGTCGGTAGTTTGGACAGTTATTTGTCCATTGGATGTGGTTTTGGCTGTAATTGCCGATGGAGTGAAGTTCGGAAGTTTGTAGATGGTTGGTGCGATTTTTCGCCAGGACGCAGAATTTAAGATTAAGGGGGGTGGCCTGATTTGCTTGGGTTTGGCTGATGTCGGGATTTGTTGTTCGGTTTGTTTTGGTGCGGAGGTTGTTTGGTTAAGTACGGATGTGGTTTTGTTTAGCGCGGGGCTATTTGTTTGGTTTGTATTAGGTACGGAAGTTGGAGTGGAAGTTGATTTAGTAGATGTCGCAGAGGACAGTGAGTGGTCTGTATAAAGGCTGCAGTCAGAGAGGGAATCGAGTGTTTCAGAGTCGGAAGTGTTAGGTTGTGGCGGGGGGGAAGCTGTACGTTGCCGTGCCACTTTCGGAGGTGAGTAGTAAGAGGGGTTTCCGGTTTTTCGTTTGGGTCTGCCCATAGTCAAGGTTGTGGTCAACCTTTTTCTGGGGGGGGGGGATGCTGTGGCTATGTGAGGGCGCGGCCCCACGACAGCTGGTTGCGGAGGGACACGTCGCTTTCGCGGCGGCTTACTTGTGGGCGCTGGTGCCCTGTCGGAGAGCGGTGAAAACGGCTGATTTGTGTTGACGTCGACGTCGCTTCCGCGGCGGCTTGTTTTGGGCGCTGGTGCCCTGTTGAGAGCGGTGAAAACGGCTGTTGGTGAAGATTTCGCTTCCGCGGCGGCTTGCTGTGGGCGCTGGTGCCCTGTTGAGAGCCGTGAGAACGGCTGTTTAGGTGACGGTTCGGGTGTGAACCGTGGGCGCTGATGCCCTGTTGAGAGCGGTGAAAACGGCTGTTTAGGTGACGGTCCGGGTGTGAACCGTGGGCGCTGATGCCCTGTTGAGAGCGGTGAATACGGCTGCTTGAGGAGCTGCTGTTGAAGGCTGGCTGCAAGTTGAGTGGTGTTGGACTTGTTCGGATGTGAACTGAAGTATGATGATGTGTGATAATGATTTGACCAATTTGCAATTTGCTTTGGTGGGACGGCCTTTGGCCTGTTTAAGAGCACCAGGCTAAGCCTTTTCTCTCTGAATAAGGTAATTTAATTGATAGGTTTTGGTCTGTTCATGGGACTAGACATGATAAGTGTGGATATTTGCTCCTTGAAAGTGTATGAGCAAGGTTTTTTGATAGGTGGAGTGCTTCGTCTTGAAGGGTTTCGATGGACATTGAGTTCCGTAAGTTTAGATTTGAGACCAGGTAGTGGGCGCCGGTCATGGTACGTAGTGATACGGACTGGAAGATCTCAATCTGTTTCCAAGATGATTGGCGAATTCTGTTTCTCCAAACGGGAGCTGCATATAAAATAATGGGCTTAATGTATATTTTGTATATTGTCAGTTTGTTAGCCAGTGGAACAGTGCTGTTTCGGTTTAGGATCGGATGTAGTGCAGCCCGGGCACCGCGAGCCTTTCGGATGGTATTTTGGATATGCTTGTCAAAGCTTAGATCGTGGTTGAAGGTGACTCCAAGATATTTTGCGTGATTGCTCCATTCGAGATGTTGGTTTTGTAATTTTAACTTCATGGTTTGTTTTTGGGATCGAGGCCCAAATATCACTGCTACCGTTTTGGATACGTTTAATTGGATTCTCCATTTTGTGAGCCAGTCGTTCGTGATGTCCAGTTGTCTTTGGAGCTTGTATACTGCATATTTGTAGTTATGGTTGCTCGTGTAGAGAAGGGTATCGTCCGCAAAGAGGGCCAGTGTGACTGGTCCTATGGTCGGGAAATCGTTTATGTAGACTGAGTATAAGAGCGGTGATAGACATGACCCCTGAGGGACACCCGCTTCTATGTCACGAGATGTAGATAGGTGATCAGATATTTTGATTTTGAAAGTACGGCCTTTAAGAAAGGATTCAATGAGTACTATAAGTGAGTGAGGAACGTTTGAGAGTGTTAACTTGTGGATGAGTCCTTCGTGCCACACGCGGTCAAAAGCTTTCGCCACGTCTAGGAAGACGGCTACAGTTTTTTCCCCCTTCTGAGATCTTTGGTTCAGGTCATCGGTCAGTGTGATAAGCTGTGTGATCGTAGAGTGGCCAGTACGGAAAGCGTGTTGTTCACATCTAGTTTTTACGTGGATGTTAAGCTTACGTAGAATTATTCTTTCGAATATTTTAGACATGGTGTTGAGGAGTGATATAGGCCTATGATTGTCTGGCATTTGGTGATTCTTCATGGGTTTTGGGATCATGACAATTTGAGCCTTTTTCCACTGGTCAGGGAAGTAAGAGAGTCTGAGGCATGACGTGTAGACTGTAGATGTTCGCTAGGAGGATAATTGCAATTTTTGGAAGGTGTTTCAATGCCTTGTTGGTAATGCCATCCTCGCCTGGTGCTTTTGCTGAAGGGAGTCCTTTTATTATGCCAGATACTTCTTTCGGCGTAACATATTCTTCCGATGGAGGATTTACAAGGTCACGTAATCTTTGGATTGAGTTGGTGACTTCAGGTGATGGTGGGCCCGGATTGTTTTGGAACTGGGCTGACATTGTGTCTGCGAAAAGTTCTGCCTTTAAGTTAGTGTCGTAGATTTTTGTCCCATCAGGTGCTTTGAGAGGTTGACATGCTGGTTGTTTGTGGAGGAGTCGTCGGTTCAATTTGTATATGGATTTGTTTTTAAAATTGAGAGTGGCAGTAAAAGAGTTCCATTCCGATGTCTGTGGCGAGTGAGGATATCTTTGACATGGGAAACCTGTGCGTTGTATAGCGTTTTCACCCGAGGGTCGCGCGTACGTTGCCAGTTTTTCCGTAGTAAACGCTTGGTATCAATCTCAAGCAGTATGTCATCAGGTAGTGATTTTGGTTGGTCTTGTGTTCGCGATTCGTAGGAACAGTTTTGGATCTCAGATTGGATGGTTTTGGTGAGTTGGTCGATGTTTTTGTTGATGTCTTCGATGGTGGTGATGCGAATGTTTTTTATTTGGGGAGTTAGTTCGGTTTGGAACTTTCTCCAGTTTATGCGTTTTCTTGCTGATGGTGGCCCACCCATTGAAGGTCGGGATGATATGTTTAGCATCTGAGGGTTATGGTCTGACGATAATTCGCAGTGATTGGTTAAGAGGTAGTGCGTGTTTGGCAAGTTTAGCAGGAAAATGTCGAGGATGTCTGGTCGATGGGTCGCGATGTAGGGATAGTGTGTTGGCGAGTCGGAGGCAACGACCGAGTATCGGTTTACCCGCTCGGCATGTTGTGCAAGGGTTTTGCCTGATTTGTTACGTTGTGGGCAGTGCCAATCTGTGTGCTTAGCATTTAGGTCGCCGCCAATTATGAGAGGACCATCGTGGTTGGTCAGCGCGTCTAAATCTGTTGGTTTGAGTGTAGCACCCGGGCTTTTGTATACTGCAGTTACCTGGGTGATGTTGTTTTCGAGTTTTATATTAACCGAGGTCGAGTCGAGCTCGGTTGGAATATTTACGGGTTGATGTACAATGCCACGACGGATAAGCACTGCGGTTCCCCCGTTTGGAGGGGTTCTTGTCCGTGGTTGGCGGTCTGTGCGGTAAGTATGAAAATTTGGGATTTTGAGCTGTGTTTTGGGGTCGAGGCGGGTTTCTCCAAGCAGAATTATATTTACATTGTGAATTTTTACAAATGCCGTCAGTTCTGATATTCGGTTTCCGATACCGTTGCAGTTCCATGATAAGACTTTTAGGTCATTCATCATGGGATGTAGGGATGGCGTTTATGATTCTCAGGACTGTTGTGATGACCGCATTTTTTGATGCGACGTCTTCACTTTCTTGAGCTGTTGTAAGGAGGTCTTTGATTATTTGCAAGAGCTTGGATGCGTTTATTGTAGGTTCTGGCTTTTCTGCTTGGTGTTTTGTTACGCTCGCGTAAGATTTAATTGTTGATGCTATGGTCGTTTCGTGTGTTGCGGGTAGTGGTATAGGCGTTGGCATCGTTGTCAGTATGGATTTGTTTCTTGCTTCTCTGGAGTGGTCTATTTTTCCTTTGTAAATATCTGTGTAGTATGGGCAGCCCCTATAGTTTGCGGTGTGTTTTCCATTACAGTTGCAGCAGGTTGGGGTATCTTCTTTTGGTTTCTTACATTCCTTGTTTGAATGGTTTGCTCCACACTTAACGCATCTTGGAGGGTGTCCGCACTGAAGTGATGAGTGGCCAAATCTCTGGCATGAAAAGCATTGGGCGGGACCCGTTGATTTATATGGTTCTATTTTTACTCGGACGTAGAAAAGTTCAGTGGTTTCAAATATTTCTTTCACATTTTCTGTGCGTTTTAGGGAGACCATGTGAATTGGAAGTCTTTTATCATTTTTTACGAAAGCACGGACAAAATTTGGTTTGAAACCTTCCTCTAGGAGTTCTTCCATGAGTTCATCATCAGTAATATCAAGTGGAACACCTTTAATTACAATTTTAAGGGATTGTTCTTTGGGTAATGCAAAGGTGTGGAAGCTGATTTTGTTGATGGTCATGAATTGTTGGACGAGTCTGAATGAGGACTCTTCAGGGCAGTTTATTTGGATTTGTAACGGAATCGATGTGGTTTTTGCGGTCACTTGGTCGAGACCTTGAGTTTTTGTGTACATAGCTTTTGCTATTTTCCGCCATGGGTGGTCGGAGGTTGTTTGGATCAGAATTGGTGGCATGCGGTTGGAGCGTTTATTGTCGGATTGTGGGTAATTTTTAAGTGATTTTTTGTTTGTCTCGTCAGTGTCCGAAGGAGGAGTAGACATGGTATCATTAGAATCAGAATACTCAGATCCGTCCATAGAAACGGAACGAGAACGGTTGTTGTTGTTAGTGGTAATATTCGTATCCGAAATTGGTGAACAATTGGTGGCCATGGCCAGCTTCTTCAGAGTTGAATTTTGACCGGTGAACTGTCCCGGTATATATACTATTTGTTTCTCTTTGTTGTCCTGTGATTGGTCGAGGGTGGTTGCTTTGACAAGCAATAACCACACCTCGACCCGTTGGTGTTCGCTTTGTTAATGTGGTTTTCGCTTGTCATTTCCGTGAAACTTTCCTGTTGACAAACTACTTATTCCAATATGTCGCGTCTATTACTTGTGTCGCATTACGTTGCCATACTGTTGTGTTAGGTGGTCCTGAAAAGGACCATTTTGATATAGTGACGGTTTATCCCGTTACAGTATTAGGTTTGTTTAATAGTAGGTATAATATTAAAATATGTTAATGGTAATACAGTTTAAACTTTAAATATACTATAACTAATAACTAGTATATAATATCAAAGGATATATTTGATAAGAAATTAATATGAGAAATTATAAAATGTTCATGAAAATGTACATCATTACTCACTAATCCTGGTTATAATGTAAGGCTATAGTAACGCTATACCTATACTTAGTATTAATTGTTATTATGATGAATTGGCTACAAACATAATAATATAAAACATTTATAAACAATTATTATTTATTCATATTTAATATTATTATAAAAAAAAAAAAACTATGCTGGCCATATAATATGTATGTTATTAATTTTCTTTTAACCGATACTAGTAACCAACCTCTCAATTTATTTATTACTTATTATTTATATTTCAATTTTGTTTAAAATATATTTTAATTATATTATACTCCACAGTTTTAACTTTCGTGCGAATAATATTAAATTTTTCCGATTGTCGTTTTAATTTGTAATTTCTTTAAGTTTTCCAAAATTCTTTTTAACTTTCCTTACTGTCTTTAAGTTGGTGCAAAATTTATTTTTATTTTTATTTTCAATATAAATCATTACACCGTTTTAGATACATATAGGTCCACACATCAACAATGAATGCAATATTAAATGAACAAAAGCTACTATTTATCAGAACATGGATCCGAAATAGTATTGTACGTACCTCGATGTTTCATAGCTTTTGGACAATATGGAAAAGTTAATGAATCCACGTGATAGTAAGAAATTATTTCAGCTCAGCCAAATTAAACTTGGTACCTATAAACAGTATAATCCAAGTAAGTAAGAAAATTTTCTGTATTCTGTAAATACATGTACGTACATAATATTATTTTTGTTCGGTATTTATTTGTAGTAGGTAGCATATAATAATATATAAGTATAGGTATACCTATAGTGGCGTACGCAGGAGTAGGGTTCTACGGTTCTGACCCCCCCCCTAAAATTTTCTTTTTTTCTACAAAAAAAAAAAAAAAACTTATTTTTTTCCATTTTGATACACACAGATCAATTTTTGGTCATTTTTAATAGATATAAAATAAATTGTTGTATATGGCATATACATCGATCATCATAGATTATTTTTTTCGGCTGATTTAGAAAATTGCTAAACGTCTGTCAATAATATATTACCACTTTTATTACGGCCCGAAGAAGCTCTATATAGACGACCAGATTAATAGACTACATTTGAGACCAACTATAATTTGTTATATAAAAACTGTTTAGAAAAAAAAAAAAAAAAAAAAAAAAAATAATCTAAATTATTTACTTAGGTAAAACCCTAACCGAACTAAAATCCTGCTTACGCTACTGAGTATAGGTATAGACTTACACTTATTTTATAAATTAGCTAACGCTTAGAGCAAGGGTCGGTAACGGCGGGGGACCACCAAAGGGAAATAAATGGACGTCAAAACTATTTTACTTTAATGCTGATATTTTTCATTATTTTTCTCTGCATGTAGACCTTTAGCATGATAAACAAAAGGTTTTCTGGACCTACAAAGTTATTTTTCAAATCCTCCGGACCCCCAGAAACTGATTGCTGACCCCTCGCTTAGATGGTGACCCGTGAAAGTGAAGCATGATAATTCAGCAACCAGAGGTTTTCGGCGATGTGATTTTAGACGAGAACGAAAATTATCGCCCCCTATTCTTAATGAGTAAAATAATTATTGTATTTAATTTAATATTGTCGTAGGTACCTATAACGTCTTCATCTCAATGTCAAACACATCACAGACTATCGCCGGCCGGTCTCACACATACACACACACACACATTGTTATCTGACGTTTTACGGCAATTTTTTTTTATTATTTAAAATATGTTGTTGGGTTTATAATTTTTTTATAATAATATTAATTAGTAGTGTTCAAATTTGTTGAACGAGTTATTTTATCGCATTTTTAATTTTTCCTTTGAGTAATCTAAAATTATATATTGCATTATTGGTATTGTATAGGGGCTAATCTCTGTGTACCTACGTATTTTTAATAATATTATTATTTTATGTTTTTTTATCGCCGTTAATATATTATAATACAAATTCACTATATCCATATTATTTCCTTATCATGTGTGCAAAACGCAACTGTGTTGATTTTATTTTTATAATGTGTACCTCTCAATATCATCATAGACTTAAAAAAAGCTCTCATTACTTATAACTTCAACTTATAATTACTCTGCAGCAACTAAAATAGGTGTCTAATCTAATCTAATTATTCACCATATAAGGTTAGGTTAGGTAATATAATATATTATAGAGCCAGAACTTTATTGCATTTATCTTTCAATCGTTATTTAAGTATTTTATTAATTGTCCCAAAAAAAACTATACTTAG